TCACTCTGAACATGGCCTTCTTTGGGAGTTAGAGTGTTCAAAAACTCACTTATTAATTGAAACTTGCAGTGACACAACTTCTGGTTTGATTCGCTTGGCCACCCAGCTCCAACAGTTACTTGCTCCTGATTTGGAGGAATCAGCTGTGCACCTGCAGACTCGATGGGATAGCATTCAGCAGGCAAATGCTAGGAATGATTTTGAGATCAGCGATAGACTCAGTAGCTCTGATTCAAGTGGAGAAATGAAAAATTTCAGATTAGAGTCAGAAAATGAAACTGGGGCCATTGGTTTGATGGACGAAATAAATGAAGATGCATTCCAATTTGATGTCAATTCTACATGTCAGTCTGACTCCATGGAATGTCAGAACAATTATATGTCACCTCATGGAATCTCTCATGGGCAGGCCTATAATTGGGTACCTGAGAAATTACCTTCTAATCACAGTTTTTGTGGGTCGTCATCTAGAATAGATTCAGAAAGTAGTCAAATTTTTCTAGAAAGAGAGAGCCTGCCTGAAATAATTGAAAACTATTGTTTGTCTGAGCTCCGTCCATTGTCAGATGTACCTAAAGAAGGGGATTCATCAGGGAGAGAATTGTTTCCTGAGACTGATTTGAGGAGAGGAAATTCTGGGTGGTATGATGACACGTCCGTAAGAATTTTAGAAGACCATGTGTCAGAAGCAACTGAGGAAGATCATGAGGAACATATTCTTGATGGAGACTTTTCATCTTGTGGCCTGACGTCTTACTCTTCTGTAGCTGCTAATGGACGTATAGTTCTGAAAAACATTGACCTCAAATGGAGAATTTATTCTGGCTCTGATTGGCATGATTCTAGAAAGAAAGGTGAAAATTTTAAACATACAAAGGGTCGGGATACAACTTCGAGCCTTGAGCTGGAATTATCTGGGGTGCAGTTCCTGTATGAAATCTTTCCAATTGGCGGAATATGTACCTCTAAATTTTCTCTCAAGGTCCAAGATTTTTATCTTTATGATAGAAGCAACACTGCACCTTGGACATTGGTAATTGAGATTTTTCACTATTATTATCATAAGATTGATTAGATTAGAAATAACCTGTGTAGATAAACTAACTTGCCGTTGAATTATAGGTCCTTGGATATTTTAACTCACGAGATCACCCAAGAGATTCCTCTTCAAATGCATTCAAGTTGGAATTAAAAGCTGTCAGACCTGACCCTGAGACGCCACTTGAGGAAAATAGGTATGCTATCTATATATTTACAGTGTCATACTTACTTTTCTTCTAATATCTAAGAATGAAGACCACAATTATTATTTTGATAAACACTAGTCTACTGGTATGCACAAAAAAAATTTGTTAAAAGTATTTCAACAAAAAAATTTTCTAACTTTAACCATTTTGTTCCCAACAACTTTATCAACATTTTCCGAGTTAGGTTTGTTATCTTTATAGTCAGCTGCACTGTCAAATTTAATGCCTATGAAAGAAAGGCAATTGCGTTAGTACTATATAGTTATGTTCATTTTTCCATGGAGGTAGTAGAATAGTTTCCACAAGAGTCCCCTATTTGGCAAATTGTAAGGCTAAATTAAATTACAGTTGTATCTTTAGTAAACTTGAAATACGTTCTCTCTACTACTTATATCTTTTTTGCCTTTGATAGATATTGGTGTTTCATTATAACGTAAATAGTCCTCTTGCTAGTGGGTTAAATAATGATCAGCGCACTATCTGTATACCCTTGTTTTTTCCTTTTCCTCATGAACTGCTTCCTCCCAGGTTACGGGTCGCTTTACTCCCTATACTCTTACATCTTCATCAAAGTCAACTGGATTTTCTCATCAGCTTCTTTGGAGCTAACAGCCTAGAAAAGTCTGCCGTCTCAATTGGAGACTCGGGCGGTTCAACGTTGTCGGTTTCTGTTAAAGGACATAATATCATAGAAGAAGCACTTCTTCCATATTTCCAGGTTAATAAAGATTCCTTCTACCTATAAGCTAGTATGATGACGGAGGAGAAACTTTCATGTGTTACCCACCTAGGATTGTATAATTATGTCTAATGATAGGGCGAAATTTCATGCTCTGATGAATGTGATGCTAATCATGTTGATTGGCATGAGAGCATGTTTTGATGTATTTACACACACACACACACACATTACACTATAATATGATATCACTCAGCTGATGTTATAAACCTTGGTGTTCTTGTAATTAGAAGTTTTAAGGAAGTATGCTATGTATGATTATTAAAATCATCTGACTAATCAAATTCATTTTGCAGAAATTCGACATATGGCCTGTTAGTGTTCGAGTTGATTACAGTCCCCATCATGTTGATATAGCAGCGCTAACCGGAGGGAAATACGCAGAGCTTGTGAACCTTGTTCCATGGAAGGTAAGAAACAAAAATCTCCAACCTGCGTCTTCAAGTTTTTTTCAGCATTGTTTGCTCATCGCAGAAGAACAAATGCAGGGGATTGAATTACAGCTCAAACATGTGCATGCTGCTGGAATCTATGGCTGGGGAAATGTATGTGAGACTATACTGGGAGAATGGTTGGAAGATGTATCTCAGAATCAGGTTTGTTTGACATAGCCTGCTGTCTTGTGCACATTAGTAATCATCCATTTTTTGGGTTTACTGACAAGCTTTTTAATGTTCTGTAATTGCATCTTTAGATTCATCAACTGTTAAAGGGGATTCCCACAGTAAGATCACTTGCTGCTCTTTATGCTGCTGCTGCAAAGCTGGTCTCATCACCTGTCGAAAGTTACAGGAAAGATCGAAGGCTAGTGAAGGGAGTTCAAAGAGGTAAGACTTGAAAACCCAAAATGCTGAGTGCTCAATTTTCACTATTATTTTCCTTTTCTTCCTGATATCAGAAACTAAGTTACTTATAGTGCACTGACAAGGAATTGTTCGCATCATATATGATATTACAACTGTTAAAGCCACTTACAAAACTGAAGCTGTTCAGAAAAATTTCTTTTGGTGTTAATGTATTTTCTAGACCCTCATTCCTCTAGAAAAAGGGTTAGCGACAGTAGCTGGTAGCCTTCTGACCATGATTAGGGAACCCTTATATATAAGACTTCTAATAAAGTTGATACTAGAATTGCCTCTCATAAGCAAGATGCATAGCATCTTCTGCTTTCGCCAAATTATTACACATCAACATTGTCAAGTCATGATCATGTTTCTGATACTATCCATTCGTGAAATAAATATGCTCAGCAACCTGTACTTGGTTTGGCCAGGAGTTTATAATTAGTTATATTCTATAGTACGCATTATGGAGCTGTAACTGTTTTCAGGTACTATAACGTTTCTCAGAAGCATCTCACTGGAAGCTGTTGGACTTGGTGTTCACTTGGCAGCTGGGGCTCATGATATTTTATTGAGAGCAGAATATATATTTGCAAGTGCACCATCATTGGCACAACCCCAAGGCAAAACGAAGACGAATGTTAGGCATAATCAGCCTAGAAATGCTAAGCAAGGCATGCTTAAGGTGAGTGTAAAAGCAATACATATCCTGCATTTCTGCTCCTGCATCATATATTTACATTGCTGCGGTTTTATAGGCATGTGAGAACATTGGTGATGGAATAGGAAAGACAGCTTCTGCATTAGTCCGCACACCTTTGAAGAAGTATCAACGTGGAGATGGAGCTGGGTCAGCTTTTGCAACAGTTGTTCAGGGAGTTCCAACAGCTGCTATAGCACCTGCTTCAGCTTGTGCTAGAGCAGTACATAGTGCTCTTGTTGGCATTAGAAATAGGTCAGTTCATTTTAAAAGTTTTGGAGATACGGCAGGAAAAATCTGTTATTTGCAAAGTAGTCAAGACTCATGTGGATTCTTTCTCCTTTCAGTCTTGATCCTGAACATAAAAAGGAATCAATGGAAAAGTACTTAGGCCCCGATAAACAAAGGAAGCAGGACCAACACCGATAAACCCAGGTAAATTTTCTGGTCAGTCTAATACTCTTACATTTTCTCAGATTGGTTATTGCAATTGCGGATATTCATCTAGCAGTCTGAGAAACAAACCTGGTTTTAACCACTTGATACGCTGTGTTCTGTTTGCTACAGATTGTCCATGTTGGTGTGAGGTCCTTTTTACATATAGCATGTAAGTCTCTACAAAATTTGTTGAGATCTATGTTTACCTGTTAGGGTGGTTTATATATAAGCTTGCTCCTTGTATATGGTAGCGCTTATAGTATCAACATGTTTCATTTTCTTGCAGGTATATAGGTTTGAATAGAGTAAAGTGCAGAACCATTCTTTTGCCCATCAAAAAAAAAGAAAAGAAAGATGGGATAAAAATTTTGGTATAGAATAAAAAAAGCCTTCAAAACATTAGATATAAAAAAATCATTTCAGTTTGTCTCTGTACATAAAACAATTTCGCCAATCTTCTTGATCCATTGTAAATTTACCAAATGAGTGAAATTGTACAGTGTGTGTTCTGTTTATAGAGTTGTTTTTGATATATCATCAGTCAGTGTCTTCTTTTTTGGTATATTTCTTAGAAGATACTAAAAAATCAGAGTGCGACTTTGAGACTAATCAGGCGTCTGAAGGATTATGTTGGAAACATGGCCAATGAAAACAGTGCCATATTTACTGTTGTCTGGCATCAAAGTAGTAGCTAGATTTTAATTTGCAGGGGCACAGATTTTTGCTGGAATTATGATTTTATTATCTAATTAGGTGGATTATTAATAATAAAGGAAGTTTCATGTAAGTCTTCTTTTAAAAGGATAAGCTGGGTTAAGACATGTAATCTATCACCCTGATTTATCGGTCGGCGACTATATTAGGACATACTGCTACTGCTAATCAGTTAGGTGTTAACAAGAGCGTAATTAGATACTAAACCAATGGAAATTATAATATAGCTAACGATGATCATAATGGTCATACACAATAATAACAATAAAAAAAAACTACGTAAAAGATAGAGAGAACTCCAAGAATAACAAGAAAAAGAAAACAATAAAAAATGGAAGATTATAATTTATTTTTATTTTTATCAGTAGTATTACATATTAATATCTAGTTCGTCGCCATAGTTAGCTTGAATTGTTTTTCCCCCGATCTTTCAGTCATCAGATTCCAATATACTTGCAAGACAATTCTGCAAAATCAAATCATATACAATATATATAAGTATTTAACATTTTTTTACTTAATCTTTTATATATATATGTTAGAACTTAGAAATCATCAAAGCAACATGTGTTTCCATTAATTAACCAATAAATAAATAAATATGTTACTTGAGATCTGTTGGGGAGATGGAAGTTGATGTTGTTGGAATGTATTTTCTTGGACTTGTTAAGACCTAACTTCCACCAACTACGTGATGCCTTTGAGTTGGTTCGGTCAGAATCTTGAGCACTTAGTTCCTCTCTAAGTGTCGTCGTTGTCGTCACTTTCCTCTGAGTAGCTTTCTCTAGTGGCAACAGAACTCCACCGAAGAAGATCTCATCAGCCGCAGAAGTAGTGAAACCAAAGTTTTCGACATTGAATTTGAAATCAGACGAAACAGGAGCTTCCTTGTATTTCACCTGGTCATGTGCTCTTGGTATTGTTTCTTGACTACTGTCTGCAAAATCATTGGAAAACGAGATTCTTGCGTCTACAAAGGATGAAGAATACAATGAGGATTGTTCTACAGCATTAGCCATCTCTCTTCTCTTTCTCTCTTTACACCTTTGGACACTTTAGAGCTCAGTAAGTTTGTGTGTTTTCTTTCTTCCCTTGTGCTAATCTTTTGGGAGCTTCATGCAGCCACATGTTTTGCCTTTTATAGAAGATATGAGATTGGTGGACTTCCATGTGGATTTCATCTTTTATTCTTCAACTAATTTTTTATAAATGATTTTTTTTTTCTTAATTTTCTTAATGCATATTATAATTTACATATAGATTTATACTGGCTAATACCGATTCAATGAATTTGAGTTTCTTAGTTTATAGTTTTAACTCTTCTTTGTGCTTAAAAAAGAAGTCAATTAGCTTTGACATTTGTTTATAAGCATATATGTATATTTGATTGAAGCATTAATGCGCCGTAAATATTATATGTTTAAGTATATGGCTTAAATTAAGGAAATCATAATTACTTCTACAAATTTGGATCATAGTCTTAAAAATAATTTTTCTAAAATAGAAGACCATCGTTAGTATTTGGTTTTAATCTCTTTAACAGTACATAGCCAACGTCTTGAATTAAGACTTCGTCTTAACTTCTGAAATTTGTTAAATAAAATAAAACTTCTTAATAGTGGGAGAGTAGTATTGAACAAAATAGTGAGAAAGTAGCATCCAACCGTTCAAACCATTTTTTTTCTTTTTTTTTTTAGCACAAACCAGTTAATTATTGCTTTTCATTTTCTAATTAGTAATAATAATTACGGTATAAAGCTGATTTTGACAGTCAGTGACTAAATTTATTTAATCTGCTAAAGCAGTTATATATTGCTTCAGTCAGTATATTAGATTTAATGGTTTAGATAATAGTAATACTACTATACATATCTCTTGTATTCTAAAGCGACCAATTTAGTGTAAAGAAACTATAGTTTTGCACTGATATCTAGACAATGGATTAATACGGGTGAACAATACTACTATAAATAAAAGAAATTATGTAAATATAAAAATTGGCATCATTATTAGTATTTTGTGTTTCGAATTCAATGTGGTATTGAAAGAATAACATTTGTAGATCTGTCGTCGTTCATACATAAGCTAAGTAGATGATTAGATTCACTGCATTTGCATTTTTATGAACTCTTCTGTTGTCGTCTCTTAGATTCATTTAGTTCGATTTCGGTTTAAGTGTGACACTCAATTAACCGACATAAGCGCACCTTGTCCGCATCGTTTCCCTTTAATGTCATTAATTAAATTTTGATATACCGCTAAGCTAATGCGCAAGTAATTTGTTGAGTGAGACATTTCTTTGTATAGAATCAAAGGAAGATTTGAAATTACAAAAACTACCTTCTAAAGATGGGAGATAGTGAAGAGAACACCACAAAAGAAAAAAATATAGTAATTCTATTTCTCTTGGAATAAAGAAAGGCTAATAATAAGCATAGGTTTAGGTAAATACTATCTTAACAATACATTTTGTGTTATAGACAACAAACAGAAGAAGCGAAAAGAGCAGACAAAAACACTGTGGCACCAAAAGTGCCATGTGAGGCTGAGCTGTAAAAATGTTCAAACTGATCATAACTGAGAAAACAATTCAGTGTGAAAATCTATCTTTCTGGATTCAGATTTTAGGGGTTTTGACTAAAACTCTCTGCCTCTCTGCTAACTTTTGTCTTGTTGTTGTGACCCCTCAACTCACGTGCTATCACTTCCAGTCCTAATGGGGGCTTTCTCCATCTAGGGCTTTGACGCGTGGCCCTTTTTTTATACTGTGTCTGCATGATTCCATATAATTGTATAAGCGAACATAATAAGAGTTTTGTACGAAAACGTTCTCTACGGATATTGCAAAATCCATGATGTTCCTTGAGAGTGCAATTGCCGTATATTTCGTTTTTAGATTCAAGATCCTTTCAATTGTTTTGTTTATTCTATCAAATTAGCGTTTTAACTCCCAATTATTGTCAAGTAGAGACTAATTAATTACCAATCAACTAGAGTAGCTAGGGTTTAAATTTTGAAGAATTGTTTATAAAGCATGACAAGGGAATCTAGACGTATAGATAGTATCAGAGGACTTTTTTGTGGTGGATAAGTAAGCTGTAGTATCTCTTAAGTTTATTTTGGCTGTCTTCTTGTCCCCAATTTTCTCTACATCTTCTGTCTTTTTCCTCTACACTTATTCACTCTAATCCAAATTTTGTTATGTATTGTACTTAAACAAATAAACTAGCTAGCTTTTCACCTCACTAATATGTGTTTTCTTAGCACTTAAGTCCTTCACCAACAAAACGACAAACAAACAAGTCCAATTATTACTACGTTTTTACCTTTTTTTGTTTTTTTTTTAATATCCGAATTCTACACTAATTTCCGGATCCTAAAAAAAAAAAAAAAAAACAATAGAAAAATGACCACTAAACTAAGTTCATTTAGTTTGGCCCCAAAAAAAAAACTAAGTTCATTTACTTGTTTTTCTACTACATTTGAGAAAGAAAGACTAATATTTACGATCCGGTTCGGTCAGACTATGCCAAAGACTTGTATGGTCATATGACTTTTCACAAGTTTGGGCGTCGACTGGTCTAATCATACGATTCATAGATATTGGCAGTTACCAATACATGACGAAATTGAACATATTGGTTACCAAAAACATGGCGAAAGCAAATCCTTTATGGTCCAAGTTATTAGATTCACTTTTCTTTTGTAGTCAGTCTTAAGATCACACTCGTCCAAACCAATGATAACATGCATGCTTATCTAAACATCCTTAACTCGAGTCCATAGTACAATATTATCATGTGAGTAACTATTAAGTCTATAAGTCTAATGAACCTCACGAGGGAGCAAAACAAAAACAAAACATGTCCACAAAATTAGCATGACAATGTCTCAAGGTTCACAAAATTTAATCTCATACAAAATCATCATCGTGATTTACAGACACTTGATTTGGTCTTTGCAAAGACATTTGAATCTGAGCATCATCTATGTTACTAGTAACGTGTAAACGCTTATAAGTAGACAACTTCACTCTTTTCGTAGTCTCGTTTATAGGTAAAGGTTGCAGCGGTTCCCGAGGTCTTTGTTGTGGTTTGTTAAACGCACGTTTATTTACAGTTTGGTTCCGGTTGTACTCTTCGGACTCCACCAGTTTCGGACTTACATTTGAATCTATGGGAATGAGTTTCCCATCTACCTGGTTTGTGAAAACAAATGTAACCTGCAACGATTTTAATAGACCATGTAAAATAATTATCACCTAGCCTGTAAAATTCTTGGCTTTACGATAAACCTGGCATTGAGGATTTAGAGTTTATGATTGATTAGATTGACAACTCACCTCGTCTCCGGCAGAAGCTTGCAGTATAGCATCTGGAACTGATTTTGAGGTAAAATGATGACCCCAGCTAGCTAGATCTTCTTCCAATGGAGTGCCCACCTGAGAATATTCATGGAAAAGAAAAAATGGCTATTTAGATTAATCGAAAGGCAAGAGACATGAGCAGGGTTTGTATTTGACAGTAGGAATTGATGCAGAATGGTTCAAAACAGATTTAGATTAATGCATGGACGCAGTAACAAGCACAAGAAGGGACCTGTCTCTCTGAGTTTTTTAACAAGTTAAAGCATCCTGCATCTTTTGCGAACGCGCCAATGTCTTCCTGGTCAATCTGGCAAGCATCGCCATCTACGTTGTTCTCATTTCCTTCTTCCATATTTTCAGTACCAGAGGTATCATTTTGGCACCTGATGCAGCTCATCTTTTCATGGATTTCAGACCTAGTCACAGTACCAGGAAAAAGGCTTTGAGATAAACCGTTGAAATGCGTATAATCTTAAGGTGCAAATTCTGTCCCCAGAAAGTGGATAGAGAAACCATGTCTGAGTTGGCACAAAACGTTTCCTGAATTCAGAAGAAACACATACCTAACATCCCCATGGAAGGAAAATAAATCTCGTAGATCTTCTGTAGAAAGTAAGTTCCCCTAGAAAATCAAAGATGATGTGGTTAGATATTCAAGAATTAGACACAAAATGACTAATAGATGTAGCACATAACATTCTACCAAAGGACCTGTCTAGTGCTGCTATCCGTCTTTTCATGCTGAATAACTTTTTGAAGCCCTTCTTTTGACATCTGGCGCTGATAAACCTACCAATTCATCACATGAAAAACCAATATGAATTTGAGGTGAGCAATTACTCCCCCAATTAGGCTTGTTATGTTGGTGTTATGCAGTACCTTTTCTTCAATAGTTCCAGTACTAAGAAACCTGTAGACATATACTCTTTTCTTTTGCCCATCTCTCCAAACTCTGGCAGCAGCCTGGTTTAACAGCGAGGTAATGCATGCACCAGCACAATTGATCATCTCATATCAAGATAGATTTGAAACATACTGTATAAGGGGAAGTTAGGGTGGTAATTACTTGTTTATCATTGGCAGGATTCCAATCGGGATCAAACAAAACAAGTCGATTAGCACCGATTAAATTTAATCCACAGCCACCTGCCTTGCTGCTTAAGAGAAATGCAAACTCATCCTACCAAAACCAAAAGTCAAACCAGGTGTATACTCCGGTATGAAACAATGGTACAAATAGATAACCTCATGTACCTTTGTTTGGTCGTTTAACTGGTTAACAAGCTTCTGCCTCTTGCTGATTGTTGTTGATCCATCCAGCCTCAGAAATGGATATCTTCTTTCACGACAGAGTTGAGCGAAAAGATCCAATGTCTAGTGCAAAAGGTGCAGGCTATGATTATTGTATACTCAGACTAGATTGTAAAGTGCTATATGCAAAAAAACACCACCGTGGTCATTTTATGCAATCAAATAACATACATAGTTCACTTCTTTATGTTTGGTAAGATAAAGGTGCCTTTTGGATACAAATAGACAAATCAGGGTAACTAATTCCTTAACTTCTCTGATGTCATATGCAAAAGTTCCAAATAATATGGTGGCTCATAAAACTCAGGGTAACATAACACATAGCTTATGCGAAGACTAATTTAAAAGAGACTGCAACATCCATAACTGGGAGTTAGGCCAGTAGTAACATCACTGATGACAACCAGCAAC